CCTAGCAACTCAAAGACAAAGCTTGCAAATAGGATCTAGCCGGATATATAATTTAAAATATATCAAAAGTGATTTTTCTGAATTGAAGCAGTTTGATCATCGATCTGGCTGCTCTGCCCTAGCGACAAGTAAATTAGATTATAGACACGATAGGATAGGGTAATCCCTACAATAGAAAAAGTCCAACATTATAATCTACCCTAAACATAAAAAAAACAACATTCACTCTGCGAATTCACCATACATACTGACAGAAATATACATGATAGAGCAGATATTGTCATAAAAGGTTTCGAAGAAGATGTCTCTCCTCAATTTCATATTCTTTATTTACGCTATTTTCATGCGGACTATTTTCCTCCTTTTTGTTGATGTTATCACAACGTTTCGACAGTTGTGCCCTCCGGCCTTCATCAGGTGTATGCCGACCAGGATAACCTACAGTGAATTCCGAGCTGAATCCTCTTTTTAATCGACGGGAGTTGTATGTGTTAACGTTCCGTTGGTTATGTCTAGAGATGTCCTGTCTTGACCATATTTTTAGTATTATACACAGATGTCCTCAAGTACACATGGCACAGTGGATAAAGGCGTTTGTTAGATCCAGTGATAGGACCCAAAGAGTGTGGGTTCAATACCCGGTTAAGGCAATGAAGAACTTTCAGAGGGAAATTAACAGGAGGTAACTGATAACTGACATCCATTAAATATGACACGTGGAACTAGAACAGTCTACCCCAGTGAGCGAAATAAAGGGGTCAGTTCGACATTCCAACCGCCTGAAGAAGGCCGGAGCGTACAATGGCCGAAACGTTGTAATAAATATGGCGACAAAGATGAGGACAATAGTCCGAATAATGTAAATAATGTACATAATACCTCATCTCAGAAATATAGACAGATACTGATAGGCCGAAACGTAGTAATAAATATGGTGACAAAGAATAGAACAATAGTCAGAATAATGTAAATAATGTCCATAATAACTTATCTCAGAAATATAGACATATACTGAAGAAGGCCGGGCGTACAACGGCCGAAACGTTGTAATAAATATGATCTCATCAAAATTTCCAGAATTGCGACTACGTAGGTGAGTTTAGGAAAGTAGGAAGAAGTTAGATGGTGACTAGATATTTACGCAACGATTAATGTGGGGAGCCCGAGGGCGTACACTCGGGCAAGGAACAAAAATTCCCCGAGCCCCCGCAACCGTCGGTTGCGCTGGCCTCGGTGCGTACACCGATCCCTCTCTCTGGTGCAATGAGAGGGCACGACCTCGCGCAGCTGTTCCCCAGGGTTTGAGCACCTCTCAGTATAATTTTCCTCAGTTGCGACTCTGTCCTTTGATGGAGTCGCCTTCTTCGTGCACTCTGCCCAAAGACAGAGACCCAAGTTAGATGGTGAGTAAGGGGGATTCAATGCTACAATTGTCTGTTTCCGCCACTACAACCTGGGGCAGTGTGAGGCGCGTTATCCTGAAGCAAGAGTAGTAGACCTTCCTCTGCATTTCGACTTCCTTCAGTCTATATATATATATATATATATATATATATATATATATATATATATATATATATATATATATTAAAAAGAAGAGAGAGAGGTGCCGCAAACGTTTTTGGTTGTAATGTGGATTTATTTAGAAAAATATTATGCTTCGTTTTACATAATTGTTTTATGACCCTTCGCGCAGAACTCTTCATTGCCAATTCAAGAAAGAAATTCAGATTACCGACACACAAAAAGAGAATGTGTCATATCGAGAATATTTAACATTGAACATAAGGAAAAAATTAATTGTTTTTAATAATATGTGGAAATTTCCGCTTTTACCTGAAGACGGTCGCGAGACCAGAAACACGTGTCGTAAAATTATGTAAAACAAAGCATAATATTTTTTCTAAATAAATCCACATTACAACCAAAAACGTTTGCGGCACCTCTCTTCTCTTCTTTTTAATATACATACTTTTCTCTCGTTGGAACCACTACAACATATTTCTTTTATATATATATATATATGTAAACATAGATGTCCACACTTAGAGGCGACAGTCTGTTTCATGCTAAATGCAATCGTCAGGCCACGAGTGCTGTTATTTTTCTCAATTGTTTATATATACGGGTCAGTGGTGCATTGTGGGTAGTCTATTTTGGCGGTTATTTATTCATTCATTTGGGTTAAATTATGTTACCTGACCCATATATATAAATAGCCGAGAAAAATAACAGCACTCGTAGCCTGACGATTGCATCTAGCATGAAACAGACTGTCGCCTCTAAGTGTTGACTTCTATGTTTACTTTATATTTGCACACGCTCTATCTCTGATATTGAGCACTTTATTCCATAAATATAGCACACACCTTAAGATTATATATATATATATATATATATATATATATATATATATATATATATATATATATATTTAAATATATATATATATATATATTTAAATATTCATGGAGACCAACTGGGCAAACTATTCGTAACATACTTGTTGACAAAACTAATAAAATGACATCATCTACATGCAAATAAAGGCTAAAAATAATGGAAGACTTATTGATAAAAACAAACAAACCCACAATTAATAATATTAACTTTGAACATGGACATAATATCTTGATCGTGTTTTGAAAAAATGGAAACATTTTATAAAACATACATACAACAAACTATTTCTTATTTAACAGTTAAAATATTTAATCCTTGAATATGGCTAAATATAGCCGTAAGCGCTTGCATAAAAAGAACATTCGGACAGTTTTTATATAATTCATCATCCGAAAAGAAAAAAAAATATTTGATCGCCTGAGAAATTGTATAAAAACTAAATAAAAGCACTTTGTCTGTTGTTTTCAGTGAAGTGAAATGTATATATATATATATATATATATATATATATATATATATATATATATATATATATATATATATGTCCCTTTTGCAAGTAGTCTATCATTATAACATCTTCAGAATACCAAAACCAGAAGCGATCACATGCCAACAGACGTTGTCTGCTTGAAGTTCTTCGGGGTGCAGAACCAGGGTGTTTGCTTTGAATGTTTAATTCAAGTCCAAAGTGCTAAATCCAAGTTTCATCTTGAGTTACTAATCTGGAATGGAAATTCTCAGGGGCAGCTTGAAGCGGGTCAGAATTGTTCTGGAAATGTCAACCCTTTTCAGATTCTGTTCAGATGTCAGCATTCTTGGGACCCATAATACAACTTGCTCATCACAAAGATCACAGTTAAAGCAGTATGGACCGAACCAGAACTAATGTCTATGAACTTAGCTATCTGCTGGGAAGTAATGCGTTTGTCATTCAAAACTATACGGTAAATGGCATCAACTTGTTCATGACATGTTGAGATTTTTGGACGACCTGACCGAGGTTTATCGTCTGTGCTGCCTTTACCCCGATTGAATTCCGGAGCCAGCTTCATAACAGTTGCAAAAAAAGGAAGCCATCAGCAAGTGTCTGTACCATGTCCTCATGGGTTTCAAAGGAAACTATTTTTGCGGCTCTCTAAAATATTAAGTTTGTCAATTCAAAGTTTGGCTTGAGAGAGGATTCTAGAAAAAATCCTGGTCATTAAATTGACTCAAAGATGGGCTGGAGACAAGATTCCTGAGAAACCCTGGTCATTAAATTGACTTAAAAGGAAAAAGATCTATGTATTCATCTCTTAAAGATGTCTCAGGAATCTTATTGTTACACTCATGAGGGGGTTCCTTTCCTGGAACGTCTGTGAGAACTACCATACAGACAGACAGACCTCAGGTGAAATTCGTGCATCAGATCTACGCTAAAGACGCCGCAGAAATGTTCTACGCGTTCTAGAAAGCATGTGACACCTCCTCTCATGATCGTTTTTTAAAAGATTCAAATAAAACCAAGAATGAATTATTTCTGCCATATCTCGACCAGAGCTGACCAAACCTTATTTTACAACCTCGACAGTGTTCAAAAGCGTTCGCACATCCTTGTGGGTGATGAATTTTCTCACCCTTCAACTCAATCCATTTCCCACAGACGAACGATTGTCAGCCTCTCGCTACTCTCCTGCTATTTCAATGCCAGATATTTAGACAGATATTCAAACATTCCTTGGTTCCACCAGTTCAGACCTTCACATCTAGGATCCGCAATAAGACCTCGACTCACACTCATTCCCTTCATATTCCATTAGTAAGAATGAAGTCCCATTCAGCCAGCTTAGCCTCTTGAACTGTTGCAAACTGAGACGGACTCCCGAAAAGATGCTTCCTTGATAGACTACACTCTTAACCTCTGCAAGAGGATCAACTTTTATCTATCCTAGATATTGCTCCCACCCTGTATGCTTTTACAACATCTCCATTTATTAACCCACTACCTAGCAGGGCTCTTGAGGCTTTTATTGAGTGAAAAACAGTAAAAAAACTGATAGTTTTATCCTTTGCTATCTTGTCTAGAAAGTCCTGTAGCTTACTTTCTGTGGCTGCCATCTGTATATTTCACCGTCTGGAAATTTTAATCGCAAGATTAAAATTTAAATTCAACCATCATTCCAGCAGTTATAGGAGCACTAGAAATTATTATGAATAATATTGATGCACACATTAAGAAAATCCTTCCAAAATAATCTTTTTGCTGAAATTCAGAATGGTTGATTGATTTCCTTAGCGATAAAATATATTTCAATAACTACCCAGGGAAAATATCAGGTGAAAGGTTGGATAAATGATTGACTCAACCAACAAATAAAAAAGCTGGATTTTAAACCCCGAGAATCAAATGAAATTCTATCTCGTCCGCTATTTATAGATAACATATTTTGAGCGTAGGTGAAAAATATGCATTGAATGTGCAGTTGAGGTTCAAGTTGTCTGAAAGGTCAATGTTAAAACTGCCATCATTCTGCATCAGAAGATTCGCCGATTATTTGTAAATATATATGCAGGACATACACCAACCACAGTTTATGGATTCGCATCTTAAAATCTAGATGACCAGAGCCTGGCAGTTTATCAGTCTATCTATCTATCTATCTATCTATCTATCTATCTATCTATCTATCCACTTATTTCAGTCTGTTCCTATGTCTATCTAATTCATTCTTTTCATGTCAATCTATTTCAATCTATTCCTATTTCATTCTTTTAATATATATCTATTTATCTGTTCCTTTCATATCTATCTCAGTTTGTTTCTATCTATATATATATATATCTTTCTCTCCCTCTCTCTCTCTCTCTCTCCCCTCTCTCTCTCTCTCTCTCTCTATATATATATATATATATATATATATATATATATATATATATATATATTTCATTCTTTTCATATCTATCTATCTATCTATTCCATTCTGTTTCTTATCTACCCACCTATTTTATTCTTTTCATATCTATCTATCTGTTCCTTTCATATCTATCTCAGTTTGTTTTATCTATCTATCTATCTATCTATCTATCTATCTATCTATCTATCTATCTATATCTCTCTCTCTCTCTATATATATATATATATATATACATCCCTCTTCTTCTTTTCTCTCTCTCTCTCTCTCTATATATATATATATATATATATATATATATATATATTTCATTCTTTTCATATCTATCTGTCTAACTATCTATTCCATTCTGTTCCATCTACCTACCTATCTTATTCTTTTCATCTATCTATCTATCTATCTATCTATCTATCTATCTGTTGTGGATTCCGAGATGAAATTCGGTCTCCAATGAATGACAAAAGCGGGAATGAAATATAACAAATAAATGTATTTACACAATAATACAATTGGTAATACGGTAAATAGATCCAGAAACGCGGTTAGTAGCAATAATAATATATATATATACAGTCTGGGAAATTCAGTCTCGAAGTAGGACTTCCTTAGAGTCTGCGTGTTCGTAACTGTGACTCCTACAAGCGGTTACCTCACACTATTACTCTACCTCCAACTCAATCACAATCTCAATCTCTGTCTACTCTGACTGACTCTGGGTATTTAACGGCAGCAGTCCAAGTATACACTGGTAGAGTCCACTTGTATGAAAAAGGGGTGGAACCCATAACGCTATCTTATTCTTTTCGTATCTATCTATCTATATATCTTTCTATCTATCTTATTCTTTTCATATCTATCTATCTATCTATCTACCTTTCTATCTATCTTATTCTTTTCATATCTATCTATCTATCTATCTTTCTATCTATCTTATTCTTTTCATATCTATCTATCTATCTATCTATCTATCTATCTATCTATCTATCTATCTTCTTCTTCATCTTTTCCTTATTATTATTCTACTCGCCCTCGTCCTTCTTATTCCTCTAATCCTCCCCCTCCTTTTTCTTCTTCTTTTCCTTCCTCTTCTCCTTTTTTGTGTTTCTTCAATGCATTGGCGATCATAACCCTCCACAATTTCCTGCCCCTTTTAACCCTAAAATCTTTTCTCTTTTTTACACCCTCTTCCAATCCGCCATCCATTCACTCAAACTCTCTATATAGGTTAGAATTGCTTTTCTTAGTCTATCGAACCTTCAATGTGTCCTGCGTGTACCAAATTTTCCCAGCGCTCTCTCCTTATTATGCGCCACAGAAACTTTAACAGACTTTTTTTCTGATGTTAATTAGACATTCCCTTTTTGTTTCCATTTTCTCAAAAACCTCGTCGTTGCTCATATGTTTGGTCCATAGTATTCACATCATCTTTTGTAGAACTATATTTCTGTTGCTTCAAGCGCTGATATTACAACAAAGTTTAGGACTTGTTTCTTTGTTTCTAACGATACATCCTCTTGACTTAACTGTAAATTGGATAAAAACGTGCTATTAAATTTCAAAGCTCTTAACATTCTATTATCTTCGAAGAGACATAAGATGTCCTCCAATCATTATGAAGGATCTTTGCTCTAAGGTCGATTGGGATTCAAATTCAACCCAGACCTCATCTAAGAAAAGTACTTAACATCACCAGCAATACTTGATCTTGACAAAAACCTAATCTGGCCAAAAATGAAATCTTGTTGCCATATCTGCGTTGTATTTGCCCAATCCTCACAGTGATGTCTTGTTCAAAAGCGTTTCAGAAGGATGTTATGGCTGATTCCTTATTTTCAATCCTACCATTCCTTTCTCATATACGACACGTTATTTGCTTCTCAATATTCTATCAATATTCCCATGGCAAATGTCCATACAAGATATATTCCTTAGTTCCATAAGTTCAGGTATTTTATGCTAAGTCTCACCATGCCTCGTACAGAGGATAGATTCAACCACATTACTTTCATATACCGTTAGTAAGGAGGAAGTTCTAATCGGACAGATTCTTCCTCCATATCTTTACAGACTTCCGAAGAGATGCTTCCTTGATCCCTACGGTCTTCAAATCTCGGATCATCTGCTATACAGGATGCAATGGGTAAATTGTCGCCATTTGATTTTTTTAAATTTCGCGCATGCGCGTTGTTTGTTTTTCATTTTGTTGACTGCATAGTATAGTAGGATCAGTTGGGTACCATCTGTGAGAAAACGGCACCATGACACAATTCACTCGGACAGAAATTTGGATTGAGCATGCTCTACAGCTTGGCATTCACACCGTAAACCCCAATACAAATATTTCAGAGTGTTTGAGTGTCAATCTGAGGACAGTCCAGAAGATTAAGAATGAGTTGGATGAGTCTAATGTTGATTACGAAGGTTTTTGGAGTGATCGCTAGCAATGGCAAAGTTATGCTACCATTCATCTTTCCACAGGGCTACCGACTTAACACAGAGACTTTCATCAAGTGCCTTGAGGAGTTTGTGCTGCCCTGTCTAAAGAGGGTGGCTACTGGAAGGACCTATATCTGGCAACAGGACTCTGCACCATGCCACACAATCAGGAGAACCGAGCCATGCTTGTCAGACAATTTCTGCGAACACATCACCCCTCCCATCTGGCCACCTAACTCGCCAAACTGCAACCCACTTGATTATTATGGGTGGGGCGCAGTTGAGCGAGAGATCAACAAAACTCCTTGTAGCACCAAAGATGTACTGAAGGCAAGAAATTATGGCAGCATTGACCAACTTAAACAAGGAGACTGTCCAGAAGAGTTGCAGGAGATTCCAAAGTCGACTGTATGTAGACTTTGGAATATGTAGACTTTAAGATTTCAAGATATTTTCTGTTATTTTTGAGAAAAAAAAATTAAAAATAAGTTGTCAGTGTTATTTTCATTTTTGCGTCAGTTACACGAAAATTTATCCATCGCACATTGTATATCCTATATATATACATAACCTGCACTTCTTTTTTTTCTCTTACAATCATACAACAATTTCATTCTAATCCTCTACCTTGAGAGTCACTCGGGCCTTATATTCTATGAACAATGGTATAAGATTCAAAATTAGCTTTATTTGCTGAACGTGATGATCCCTGTTACCTATCGGTGTGAGTGGTTTTTGTATTAGAAAACAAGATGACATTAAATTTTGTGATCTCAGCAGACATTTTCGCTTTCGTGAAGAAAACAAGTGTTCGTAATTATTCTTCTTTGTGGAAATAAGATAAAATAATTGTATTTCATTGTGTGATGTTCTTAATATTGGAACTTATTGTTTCCTGAGACATCTTTGAAATTATTTTCCTCACCGTTGTTTTATCTTGTTATGGAACTGTTTTTTTTTTTCCTTTGATGGATTGTACGCTGCACATGAAGCTTTTGACACTCATTTCTAAACAATTTCTGTTTATAAATTACTTTTATTTGAAATGAATCTAATAAGCTAGATTTTATAACATAATATTGGCATTTTGTTTTTGTGTATCTTTTTTTTCTAAGAAGTTTTGATGCAGTGCTAAATATAATAAACGTTCATTTTTTATTCAAAATTAACTGACTTACCTGTTACTTAAGCACTCTTTTGCTCGTTCTCTTTCTATCTCCCCCTCTCTAACCCCTTCTCTCTCTGTTTATATATATATATATATATATATATATATATATATATATATATATATATATATAATACATACATATATATATATATAATATAAAAATAAATATATATATATACACACACACACATATATATATATATATATATATATATATGTATATGTATATATAACATTTTTATATCGAATTATATTCATATCCATCCTGTCTCTATCTCTATATTTACATAAATACGTAATAGTTTAATAATGGTCATTAATAATGTATCAGGATAGGTCACAGTAGTATTAAAAATTGCTCAATTCAGTTGTGAAAAAAAAAATAAAAATAACATGTAGAAGTTCATAGTTATATATATATATATATATATATAATTGGGAGGATTTGAAATAATCATAATTAAGTAATTCATCGAGTCTAGAAGAAACCTCAACAGAATGCAGAAAGCACTGAACGGTCGTTTAGGCCTTTATTTGGGACTTATCAGCATCCACTACCGAGAATTGAAACTGGAAGAGTTACGATAGGAGGCAAACGCCATACCAAATTACCTCGGTGACGAACAGGTAGCAAATCAGACTCGATATAGCGCCGCTCGATCACGTATCGTATTTCGTGGTGGAACTTCTCCGAGTGCCTCCACGTGCTACGACTACTATCCCCAAGCCGCTCAGTCCAGAGCATTAGAAGCTGCTTCAAACAAGGGTATACACATAGAAATAATTAGGAGGATTTCAATATATATATATATATATATATATATATATATATAATTTCCTTATACATTTTATATATGCGCGGTGCTTATTGGAAAACGCTCAATATCAGTGATAGAGATTACATATTTATAAGTTTGCTATCCTGGGTTTCACGCTTATGCGTTCCTCAGACATAAATCGCATAAGCGTGACACCCAGGGTTACAAACTCATATCCATTCAATATATATATATATATATATATATATATATATATATATATATATATATATATATATATTGAACAATAAAAAAATATGGCCATCATCAGGAGAAGAAATATTTCTGCTCGCTGGTAGCAGTAAACTACAGAAATGAATGTCTTGATGGAGAAAATGAACTTTTGTCTGTAGTTTTTATTTGTTTTTTTATCTTTTTAACATGAATCTTTTAACATTCCTTGTGTTGGTCAAACAGTCTCTTTTAAGTTGTTATTTGAGATAAAAGCTGGATGGATCCATGCTGCTCTGAATTCCCCTGGTCAGTTTGACAGTTTTATTGGTTCCTGGAGAGGAGATGTGTCTCTCTTAAGTGTGTGTGTGTGTGTGTGTGTTATTTGCTTCTTAGGGAGTAAGTGAGTATATGTGTAAGCGTGTATATTGCTGTGGGTGTGTGTTATCATTTGGCTCATTAGGGAGTGAGTGAGTATGATATGTGTCAGTGTGTATGTTCGTGTGGGTGTGTGTATAAGTGTGAGGCCTCAACACCTCCGTAAACATGTCTGTCTTGTGTGGGTGAGAAATGTGGGTAGGTTTTGATTTGTAGGGTTATATATTAATACTATCTATATTGTTAAATTTATGGTTTAGCCCGGCTGGATAGTGTGTTTTTAGACGTTGTATCCATTTATTTTCATGAAACTCTAAAATCTTTCTAATGTTATCTGCTATGAACTTTTCTATTTTCTCAATTATAGTGAATCTGGCATGGGTTTTGAAATCGTGTTTTTCTAGGCGGAAATGTTGTTCTACAGATAATAATTTTTCATGGGGAGTCGACTTAATTCGATTGCGATAATTATTAATTCTGTAGTGAAAGGGCCATAAAGATTCTCCTACATATTGTTTCTGGCATTGTGTGCATTATAGGAGGTAAATTATGTTATGACTTCTACAGTTAGAATCGTGGTAGATTTTGAAAGTAGATTTAGTGACTGAGCTAGTGAATGAATTCGTGTGTTTAATGTGGTTGCAGCATAAACTTCTTTTGTTGTTACATGGTTGGGAAAATCCTGTTTTTTTAGTTGTTAGTTTACTACGGATTACCTTGTCCCCTGAAATGTGGTTACTACCTATGATTTCTTTTAGGTTCTTAGGTCTACAATATGCTAGAAGGCCGGGTTCCTTAAAAAAAATTTTTAGGTCTGTTTCAGATGTAGTATTTCCCAGCGACTTTTGATTATTTGGGATATTGGAGGCAAAGTGGGGTTGAAAGTGGTTACTACAGGAATGTGGCTAGATTTATTTTTAATCTTGTACATTAGGGTGTCTTCTCTAGGTGTGGAAATTGCTTTATTTATTTGTTCCCTGATTAGGTGTTGTTTATAGCCACGTGTTGAGAATTGATGCTCTAGTTTTTCAATGTGTTTATTCTTCATTGTTGGAAC